TGTATATCCTCCCTCCCCTCCAAAAAAAAAAAAAAAAAAAAAAATTAAATTCGTTTTTAACAGCATCATTTATCCTTTTTAAAACCTTTTTTTAAGTCAATTATAGTTTCTTTATAGCAAACAACATTAAATAATTATTTTAAACTTTAATTATTATTATTATCTACTCTTTTAAAATATTTTTAAACGGAAAGATAAAAAAAAATTTTAAATTCTATTTAATGACTTATAAAATTAAGATTTTTGATAATCGATAAATACTTACATCTTAATTTTGTACATCTCTTATTTTTCTTATTTAAATGACATACATAAAATTGAGATGTATTTATTTATTTATTTTTTTTTTGGGGTGTATAATTCAATTAGTTGTTTTATAAATATTGAATAAATTTTTTTTTTTTTTCATTTTTTAAATTATAATTATTTTTTATTATGACGACTAACTAAGATTGATGCTTATTTTATTTCAAGTGATAAAATGAAATTTTTTATATAAATTAATATGGTTGTACTTAAAATCTTTTGTGCATAATTTATAATTTTTTTTTTTTTAAAGTTTTAAAGTTTTAAAGTAAGATATCTTACTATGTATGAGTTGAGGGGCAATCCATACTAGAATATATTCACTTTTCTGCTTCACTGTTGTGGTCTTCGTTGATACTTTCTTCCATGATATTACCATTGTATGAAACACCATTCACATTAGCATATCTATTGTCAGTTAATTCACAAACAGAAGATGAACCATCACTACTCATGGAACTGGTTGATGAACTATCACTATCAGAGTCTACTGATGTTGTTTCATTTTTTTCAACTAAACTTCTTAACGTTTTGTTTTCTTTTCTAAGTTCTTCTAATTCTACTTTTAGACTTTTATTCTCGATTTGTGTTATCCTTAATTGTTCTGCAACTTCATTTTCACTTTTGGATGATGTATCAGTATCTCTATCTTGTTCTTCTTTTTCCCCATTTTCATTAGTATCATTATCTTGAACACTTCCCTCCGCCTCATCATTTCCAACCTTTTTTAGCCTTTTCAATTCGATTAAAGTCTTTTCATACTTGGATTCAAGTTGCAAATAATCATGTATGATTTCTGATTTTGACATAGAACTAAGTCTTTCAACGTGAAGATCTTCGTAAGCATTTGAAAACTCTTTTGTTAAAAATTCTTCTTCATCTTCAGGAGAAGAATAAAAATAATCAATGTCAGAATCAATACTAAAACTTGAATCTCTTGCTCTTGAGGGCTTGTTATTTACAACTGAACTTCCAGGATTTTGCTCTTGAACAACTTGAAGTTGAGCGTCTATTTTTTGAAGATCTCCATGATCTTCGATAAGAAACTGGGTTGTGTTATAGGGAGCGACGGGTTGTCCATGATGAAACATTTGTTGACGAATTCTTTGAGCTCTTTCACTGCTAGCTAATTCTCTCCTTTGTTGCCAAGATGTTTTACTATAAGGATATTTACCTTTTTTGCTTTTTCTTCTTGGCCTTTTTCGCCTGTGATTATTTTCCCGAAACTTTGTTAAACTCGCGGGTAAATTCCAATCCGAACTATTTCTGTCACTATCAACAGATGGCACCACCTCCGAATTGACATCATCTGTTTCTCTAATAGTCAACTTGTTATCAATTGCAACATCTGTAGTTTCAATTTTTTCACTGGCACTCATGATGATTTAAAAGCATTATTTCAAATTATAATAATTAGCGTTAATTATGACTTGACACTGCGATTACTGTAATATACTCTAATTTAAAAGACACAATTATAATGAGGTGTAAACACGTTCGGAACAGTAAAGTAGGGCCTTCAACTTATTGACTACTTTACGTATTTTCACATGATCCCAGCTCTACAATGTTTAAAGGAACAGCTGCACCTAAAACGAATAAATATAATTCTTGAATTACGCCCTGAAATTAAAAAAAAATTTAATAAAAATGGGTAAAATTATTTTAAAACTAAATTTTAAAATTAAAAAACACATATATTCTTTCAATACTAACAGTTCGGTTAAAAGTACCTCCGAAAATTAAAGCACAATTTTGACTGCATCATTAAACTACGAAAATATATTTTAAGTACCCTATACGAAATTCCAAAAAAAATATAAAAAAACTTATCTTAAGTAAAGATAAGCATTAAAGCAACAATATGAACCTCTTTGTTCGAAAAAAATCTTACAGCGACCTCAAACGATAAAAAACAGCACTAACTTTTCGCGCCAACTTTACCATAAATTTTTTTTTTGAACTTTTATAGTTGTAAGTTTTATTTTAATTTTTTCAAAAATTTGTTTTTTAAATTTACTTTTTTGATGATTAATATATTTTATACGTTCAGTATATCGCAAGCTTATACATTTTTGTTTTCAAAAAAGAAATTAGTAAAATTTTATTTTCAGTGATAACAAACATTTTTTTACTATTGCTATAATTTTTTTAAATAGTTTTTAATTTTTCTTGGCTTTTTGAAATATGAAAATAAACACTATTTTGTACGAATTTCTTTCAACTTTGAAAAATTTTCAGTGTATTTTATTATCTGTGTAAATTATAAACATGACTTTAAATACAACTTGATTAATTTTCAATTATAGAATACATACATAAATATTTTTTTTAAAAGTAAATCGCATAATCAATTTTATTTAATTTGTTTTTTTTTTTTTACATAAATAATTCACTTTTCTATTACTTTCGAGAGAAAACTTTGAATTATTAATGAGATTTCTTAAATAAAAAAATCATAAAAGTGAATCAATATTTAAAAAAAAAAAAACTTTATTTAATTATCATTTCTGTGAACAATTCAAGTTTTCCGTTATAAACGTTTTATAATTAAATTTTATACTTTGATTAATTCATTTATGTTATTAATATTTTTCTCATTATGTTAGAATTCTTTAAATTTAATTAAAAAATTTTTGAAATTAAATTTTTACTCGAACGAAATTAAAATTTTTCATTTATTTGATAAGGCGGTGTGTGCGACAAAAGATGGCGGACTTAAGTTACAGTGAAAAGCAGTCTATTAAAGATTCAGTTAAATGTTTAAAAAAATATGGAAGTACATGCAATAATATGAAAAGGCCTGAATATTATATTACTCACATTGTTCAAAAAACTGATACTTTACAGGGACTTGCTTTAAAATATAATACAACTGTAAGTTTTAATATTAAAAAAAAGGAAGTAGAAAAATGATAACGTTGCAATATATTATTTTGTTTTATTTTTTTTTTTTTTTTTTATCCAAACGTATAAAATACTAAATTCATTTAAACAGTTTTTTTTTGTAATTAACCGTAAAATTAATTTTACGTATTTTTAATAGTAGGAAAAACAAAATTATTATTTAATTTTTAAATTTTTAAAAATGTGAAAGTAGGTTTCCTACTGTCAATTGGGCCATACTATAAAAATTTATTTTATGTGTGTGCGATTTCCTCAGAAAAATTTTTTTAAAGTTATTATTAAAGATTTGTATTATATATTGATATTATTATTTCTTTTTAGACAGAACAAATTAGACGTATTAATAGATTATTTGCTAGCGATAGTTTATTTTTAAGAGACCAATTAAAAATTCCTATACATAAAGAGTCTGCAACTTCTTTTGACACCAATAGTTCTGGTTTTGAATCAACATCAGAATCAATCATATCTCCTGCATCATATGATTCAATTGATGATGATGATGATGATGATGAAAAGTCTGTGAATGATTTATTTGGTAAAATTGATAATTCGATTGCGAATACGAGAGCTCTTGTTAAGCAAGTGCAAGAACATAGCAGGTATATATTTTTATATGTTTTTCTCACTTTTACAATTATTTCTAATGCATTATTTTCCCCTAAATATTTTTTGTACATTAATAGAATTGAAAATAATTCTACATAAACCTGATTAAATTAACATTTTGTTAAGAGATTTTATTTTTATAGTGTTTTAGGAGCATCTAATATAAGTGATCTGTTTAATAAAAGTCATTATCCTAAAAACAATCATCAGAACATGTCATTATTAAATGCAAATAATGATGTATTTACAACTCCTCATCCTGTTGTTCTTAATAAAGGAAGAAAAGTTAAAAATTCATTGCAAAGACTGGAAAAAGAACAAGATGAATTATTCGAATTGTAGCTTTTAAAAAAACTTTACAGGTTAATATTTTTACAATTGTTACTACACCATTGTAAAGTTTTTAGTTTAGTTTTTTTGTTTTTTTTTTTTAACTTCAATGATGTTGTAAGACTGATTTGGAACTGAATTATTTCCTATATCATTTAATTTTTATTTTATAACATATAAGAAATGACTTTTTTTTTTCTCACAAAGTATTTTTTCAAAAATAACGATAATTTATTTTTCATAAATTACTTATTAAAAAAAAAAAAAAAATTTGCTACTCTATTGTAGTCATTGACATGAGCTCATGTCATACATTATTTTAAACATTATCTGCTTTAAAATTGTCTATTACATTTTGAAGTAACAGAATCATCCTCGTGTTTGATAATTATATGAAGAAAAAAAAAAAAACATTTTCGTTTGTGGTTATTATTAAATATTAATTTTTAATAATTATTTCTTTTATTTTAATTTCTTAATTTTTTTATACTAGATTTGAAAATTAAAATCTAGCATGCAGAATAACAATAACATTCATTTTTTTGTTGTTGTTGTTGTTGTAAATTAAAATAAAAGAAAAATTTTTTTAAAAAAGTATTATAACTTTAGTCGTCTCTCAGTCTCATTTTTTTTTTTTGATTTAATTTAAAAAAATATAATTTGTAAAGTAGTAAATGCATGTATTTATGTAAAATTAAAAATTAAAAATTTGTAAAAACAAACTAATCGGCAAACATTTAATTTTCTCAATTGAAATTTAAATATTAATTATAAAAGTATTACGTACAAATCTAAATTTGTGACTAATAAAAAAAAAATATTATTTGAAAATTTACCAAATGAAAATAAACTATTATTATTATTATTATTATTTAAATTTATTTTACTCATGGTTAATAATAATTATGTTAATAAACAAAAAGTTTTGTTAATAAAAAAAAAAAAAAAAAATTAAGGATAAATTATAATTAGTCACAAATAAAGATGATTATTATT